TCGGGCAAATGGTGTTCCTCGCGTTCACGTCGCCGAGCCTCGACCGCTTTGAGTGGTACGTGATCCTCTCGGTGACGCTCTCGTGCGGCTGCATGGCCCTCTACCTCGCCGACATGTCGGTGCGTCTCCTCACGCTGCGCACGCTCCTCTGCACGAACGTGGCGTCCGTCCTCGACGTGGTCGTGCTGCTGGCGATGGCGAGCCTCCTGTACCTTCGCGTCTACGTTCCTGCGCACGTCTACAACTGCGTGCTCGGGTACTTTCTCTTGGCCGCTCTCCACATTGTGCTCAAGCCGCGGGCGCGAGCGTTCTCCAAGAAGTTCCACAAGTTCCGCGCCGACTTTGAACGCATCCACATCTCGGTCGCGAGCGTGCGCCTGAGCTTGCGCCGCATCCCGGGCATGGCGCCGGCCGCCATCGACGCGCTGGACCGCGATCTCTCGATGCTCGCGGTCGGCAACGACGCAGGCGACATGACGCACGACAAGTTGCTCGTGTTTCTCGAGAAAGCGCTTCTGTACAAGCCCAAGGACGTGCCGACGTCGGACTTTCTCTCGTATTTGCGCAACATTGACGCCTCGACGCATGCCTACGGGACGCTCGACGTCGTGCGCAGTACGCTCGGGCACTGGTCCACACAGCGCTGCGACCTCTTCATGGTGTGCCTCGTGGTCTGCATCAACGCGAGTATCAACCCGATTCAAGCCTATGTGCTCAACCACCTGGCCGACCACGCGTTCCCAGCGTACGGCGCCTCGGCCAACGCAACGGTCTCGGACGCCGACTTGGACGCGGCCTTGGCGACTGGCGTCACCGGGCTCCTCTGCCTCTGCATCCCGTTTGCGTTTGGCGATGCGCTCATGGGCTTTTTTCAGAGTAAAATGATCTCGAAAGCGACGGCCCAAGTCCAGACGTCGCTGCTCGACACGGTGCTGCACCAGAGCGCGGCGTTTTTCCTGACGCGCTCGGACGGCGACCTCAACAACGTCTTCCAGAGCGACCTCGCGCGCGTCAACGGGCTCTGGCAAGCCGTCTTTTGGAACCTCATCAATCCGTGCGTCTCGATCGCGTTTGGGTTCGGATACCTCCTCTACTACAAGCCATGGCTCGGCCTCCTCTCGTTTGCGTTTGCGCTCGTGCTCGTCACGTCCGGTCCGCAGGGCTTTGCGGCCAAGCAGAGCAAGCTCTTTGGCTCGAAAAACGCCTACGTCGCGTCGGATTTTGCCAACGCGGTCGCGTGTCACAAGGTAGTTTTGTCCATTTTTCATGCTTTTCTAGACCACATTTCAATTTTAAAACGTAGGTCGTGCGCGCCTACGCGCTCGAAACCACACTCGTTGGCAAGTTCAAGGCCGTCGTCGCAACGCTCCAAACCGCGCAGTTTGCCAAGGATTTCTGGAGCGGCATTGTCCAAATCTACGTCGAGTCGGCCATGTACATCTTTGTCGCGACCATGACCGCCGGCCTCGCGATCCAAGTTCGCCACGGCAGTCTCTCGGCCGGTGAGTTCTTTTCGTTTGTGACGATGCTCGCGCGCATCTCGACGCCCGTGACCGTCCTCGGCGGCTTCATGCGCGTCGCCATCGGGAATGCATCGAGCCTCCAGCGCATCGACCAGCTCCTCGCGCTCGCACCACCGTCGCCGCCATCAACCACATCGTCGTCGTCGTCGTCGTCGTCGCTGGGCACGGAGGTGATGCCGCCGCTGGCGTCCGACTTGCAGTTCCAAGATGTTGTTTTCCAGTACACGCCAACGGGACCGCTTGTGCTCAACGGTCTCACGGCCAAGGTCCCGAAGGGCGCGTACACGTGCATTGTCGGGCCGAGCGGGTGCGGGAAGAGCTCGCTCCTCAACTGCCTCATGCAGTCGGTCGACTTGAAGGCCGGTGCGATATCGGTCGACGGCGCGGACCTCCGCCGCTTCACGAAGCCCAGTGTGATGGCCGAGACAGCGGTCGTCTTCCAAGACGGCGGTATCCTCAACGGCACGATTCTCGACAACATTCGGTACGGCAAATTGAATGCGACCGACGCCGAGTGCATCGAAGCCGCCAAGCTCGCGGAAGCCGACAAGTTTATCTCGACGCTGCAGGACGGGTACCATACCGTCATGGGACAGCACGCAACGTGCAACATGAGCGGTGGCCAGGTCCAGCGCGTGTGCTTGGCGCGGGCGCTCGTGCGGCAGCCGAGCCTTCTCCTCCTCGACGAGGCGACGAGTGCGCTGGACCCCGAAACGGAAGCCTCAATCGTCCGCACGCTCGAGCGGTTGGCCAAGACCATGCACATGACGATTCTTTCGGTAGGATGGTATCAATGTATCAAGATGATATATGTGTGATAGGTGACGCACCGCTTGTCGACGGCGCGCCACGCTGACTTGATTCTTGTACTCAACCGCGGCGTCGTGGCCGAGCAAGGCACGTACGACGACTTGGTCGAGGTGCAGGACGGTCTCTTTGCCGACATGGTCGCCCAAGCCACGTCGGCCGACGAAGAGGCGACGCCGAAGAAGCCCAAGAAGGAAGATTCGAGCCATGCGCTGCGTGCGTTTGTCGACGCGCTTGCGACGCGCGCCAAATGGAACGCGTCGATGCTGCACGCGCCTTCGCTGCGCCGCATGACGACGTCCGGCTTGGACAACGAGGACGGCGCCAAGGGCCCGGCCACGTACGCGGTCTTGTAAGCCTCCACAAACACGCTGTTCTAGTTTTTACGCTTCACTTCATACTGAGCTCTAATGGATGGCGACTCTCGATGACTTTCTTCTTGAAGGGCCTGTAAGCTCGTACAGTGACGATGCTCGTAGCGACGAGCAACGCAAGGCAAGTGTTATCCAACTGGTGCTGTCAAGTTATATAACCTAGCTCGGAGAACAGATGCACCCGAGCTTTTGGTCGTTATATTCGCTGTCGCTCCTCAGGACGAGCCACGAAGACGGAACGTCCAATGACGAAAAGGCACTATATTAAGGTACTTTGATACGAAGGAGCTAATTTAAGGCTCGTCTATCAATACTGAACGCGCCATGTCGCAGGTGTCGCCGTTGTCGATGCCGCGGCCGCCGGGTGGCACGCCCGTGCAGCTCAATATCTTTTCAGCGCTCCTCGCGAGTCTTGTTGGCGCCTACGTAGCAAGCGCGGTAAATCGTGGTCCCGAGTCCATTTTGACCAAGCATTTCTGTACGCCTAGCCGCTGCACGCGTATTTGTACGAGAATCTGCCGTGGGCGCTGGACCCGCCGCCCTTGATCATGTCCAATGCCACGTGGGCGCAGACCGAGGCGTTCTGGCTCCTCTTTGCCAAAGACCGGTTGCCACCATCATCTTTATGGTATGCACGAACTCTCGTCCTTCATGGCCGCGTTAGGTACTCGTCCGAGACGTTTCTCGATGGCACGTCCTACTGCCATGACCCGACGACCAACACGGACATTTACCGGATGGTCCTCGACCTCTCGACGCCGATTCCACTCGATGAGTGCAATGCGAAGCTTCTGACCAAGCTCAACAACGGCGCGATTTTGAGCAAAGGCCTCCAAGACACGCTCTGCACTTTTGCAGCGAGCCCGAACGCCTCCCTCGTAGCGTCTGTCGCGGCGTGTCAGGACAACAAACTCGGAGGCATCCAGCAAAGCGTCGTCTGTGCGTGGCTCACGCCCGGCGACGACCTCACAATGCACCGAAGCAGCAGCGGTCCAAGCCTCTACACGTACTACAACATCTTTCTCATGCGCCCGTCGATCGCGTTTCTGTACGCCAAGCTCGCGTCGCGCGTCGTGCTCGTCATGTACATTATGTACCGCCTTTGGTTGGACTATTATCGCCACTGCCGCGAGCTACTGCGCGACTGCGCGCTCGTGGAGGGCCACCGGTGCGAAGTGTTTTTGGGGGACCCCACCAGTTTGATTCTGCTCGACCCGTTCGTGACGTTTGGAATGAGCCTTGACGTGTGGCTCAGCGCTTCGGTCATCGGCTCGTCGACGCTGGCGGCTGTTCAAATGGACGACACGTGGCAATTCATGCTCGGCTGCCTCTACCTCGCGCGCATGGTACCATGAGTATCAACTTGATACTAAAGTACTACGATTGGAATAGGAATGGATTGCCTACTTTTCACTCGCTATCGCGTCACCGATCCTAAAGCGGCTGCACATGGAAGGCCGGTTCACACCCGTGGACCCGACGCTCGTGGCGATGGCAGCGACGCTCATTGCGGGTCCGTTGACCTACCAGCAAGGACACAGTGTCTTTTTTACGCGTCTGTACCTCTGGCTCTTCAACACCAAGGCGCCGGACCCGCACTCGATTGAAATTGGCTATGGCATTTTCTTCTTTCTCTGCACGGTCGGCTTGACGCCGATCGTCTTGGGCCTGGCCACATGTCCTTCCATGCAGTCCTCCATTGTCCCCACGGGTAGGTGATAGACTCGATCCCTTCAGAACGTGGTTGCGTCATATTGGTACAGAGACGTATATGGTGTTGCGCCACGCCCTTCCATCGTTCAACGACGTCAAGCACCGATTTCTTTTGGCGCTGCAGCTGCGGTGTCGGGCCAAGTACCGCCGACTGCACCATTTCGGGGGAACCATCTACAGCTTTTACGACGCGTACCCCAACTTTCGCAAGTTTCCGAGTTTGAGCCAGCGCGGTCTCGACTGCTATATCGTGGTGTACGCAGCTGACGACGACCTGCCGTGCGACTGCATTCGCGTGAGCTTGTACAGCTGCGTGGACAAGACGCAGACGAGCCTCGTCATTGCCAAGGACGACGAAGATGTACCCTTTGGCCACTTGACGATCGAAGCCAACAAGACGACCCGCGCCATTTCGTTTGTTGTCGTCGAGCCACCCCACGGTCAGTGCCACTGGATAGAGTAGAAATGCAATTTGTTCTAGTCTGTTGCGCTCCATTGATATATTGTCTCGGGGAGGTTTACATAATATCGGCTCTCTCCGCCTGCCCCAAGGTCCAACCAGCGTCGTGGTGGACCTTTGAAGGGTCTTGGTCGAGGACGCTTCAAAAGGAAGCGGCCCATCGTAACGCTCCAGACACGTCAAACCTTTGTCATGCGATACGACTT